CAGCGAACAAGACTGTATATGGGCGTGAACGGGAACAGAACCAGCAACCGGGAAAAAGTTTTCCTAAGGTGAAATACGAACCCCGTGGCAAAAGATGGTCCAGCTTACGCAACGGATGGTGAGCCTTACCTGTTGGGTGGGGCCGCAAATATTCAGAGCACTGCTTTTATCCTTCGCAACAAGTCTAGCAGTTAGCTGAGCACCAGTTAGCTGAGCCCGAAGGATACAAAGGCTCGTTGGTCTCGGCGAGATTCCACTCAGAATTTACGTGTTTGCCACCCCACTGTCCCCACCGTTCGCTTTGTTAACGCTGTTCATTTTCTGGAAATAACGTTTTTTACAACAACTAATAAAAAGTAACTAGCTACACTTACAAACAAAATAATAATTCTTTGAAAATAGCGTTGATCATTTAGGATGGTGGCATTTGTATCCATTTGGTGAGAGATATTTCGACGATGAACTCTCTCATAGACCATGGATGGACAAGCAGATTGATCTCGACTTCTTCCTTCCTTACTATGGATTTCGTTTCAATTATACTTTTGTAAGTTCCATGGAAGACTAGTAGGTACTAGAAGGTTCTTGTAGTACTTTTCAGATCTACCAAGAAGGATTTGTTGCGTTTTCGAATCCATGGTACATCCAGCCACCATATTCGTTCCCGAACCCTCACTGGCCCAATAAACCTGATCCCAGTCTCATTGCCGTAGGTTATTTGTAGAGTTGAAAAGCTTGGGTAACCCTAATTTCATATCAATATTTTAGGTATTTATGGCCGAACAACAGATGCAACATGTCGGGGACACCCGCATCAGCAACGTGTGGTTTCGTGTGATTGAAAGGTGAACAAAGGTGTTCTAAAAGTCTTGTTTGTTGCGGATGATGGGGCGTGCAAAGAGGGGATTGAGTAGTTGGCACGGCGCCAACCTTTTTTTCACAATTCTGGAAGCTGGCAAGCGATCACAATTGGTGTAAAACGGGCTGCCGCCATGTCAAACCCAGCCCCCTGACACGCCCCAGCACCGAACAAGACAGCGCCTCTTGGAAACCTTATGTGAAGAGTTTCAGGCCAACAAACCTTATTGGATACAACAATCTGCAAGTGGATCCCGACGAGACCAACAGAGAACCGAGTTTGCAGCAACCATTGGGTATCTACAGTTACGACAATCCGCGGTTTGTCCCAATTATATTTGGACTTATTGTTGAAGTATGAGGTGAGACATAGAGCGCCGCTCACGGGGTCCAGAGATCAAATTCCGGATCGACTTGCGTCCAGGCAACAGGGTGCATTTGTATTATCCCTGCCGTAGTCGGCTAAGCGGTGCAGATTAGCCTGTAAAGCGAAAAGAGCTAATTTGCCACGTTCACACTCGAAGGCACTGACTTAGGACTATCGTCGTTGTTGAACCTCAGCGATGGCGGTCGCACCTGTTTATGAGGAAGATCTTTCGGGTTGCTGACTTTTCTCGATTTTTCCAGTCTCAGTAGTTTTTTTACGAAGATTTCAGTGAGGGGAAAAGTGGAGAGTTTTCGGAAATACTCCGAAAAAGTAGGAAGTTGAGAAAACAGACAGACGGACGGTGGGAGAGGGTGGGGAGAAAAGAAGAGAGATTCCGAGAGGGGTCGTATCTTGCTTAAAATTCTACCCACAGCAGAGCTTGCCCCTTTGGGAAAGTAGAAAAAGGCATTTTTTTGGTGCGGATAGTTTTCTTTTGTTAGTTTATGGTCGCTTGAAAATCCCCGGTAAACTGTCTTCAAGCTTGGCGAACATACAAGTGACGCCACTTGTACGGCTTTGTTTATAATTTACAGGCTTTCACACAAGTGCTCGTGTAGTCGGCTTTCGCCTCCAAATACTGCGGGCGTGCCGAGGAGGACTGAGTTTGGCTCGAGTGGCGCCACGCCCGCTTCTGACACAGTTGTTGAACTTGCAGGCGGACAAACAACGGGTGGAGATCAGGCTGGCGCTATCCAGCCTTCCGGATCAAACGCCCAGGAGTCTGTTGCGAAAATGACTGTGCAACTTTGCTGCGAGCACTGTCTGGTGTCCCCTACCGAGCATAGTGACCAAATAAAATTCCATGAGAGCGCAATTGGCGCCGTGAGGATGGGACTTCTCAAGGCCCCGCATTGTCCTTGATTATCAAGCCATTGATCAACGTCGAGCTTACTGGCGGCGGTTTCCGTGAATTAATCAACCTTGGAACCTTCAAAAATTGATGGATCCTATGGTGGCCTGATGGTCTCAGTTTTTCAGGTTTTACCGCACATATCGAGGTCGCCAGTTAAAAACTCAGCAAGGTCGACTAGAAGATCCAGAAATGTTGGACAGGATCACGAGGTGAGTTAGCCAGTGGAACTTCAGCACCTTACAAAAAGCGGGCAAGTTCCTCTCCAGTGCCATCTCAGTCTCACCTGTGTACCTTTAGAGATATTCGTCATTCGATGGTGGGCGCTCGTGGATGGAAGGCAGATTATGCGCTTGCTGGTGACATGGGAACGAATGAGCTACGGTGGAGCACCGAAAGTCACAGACATGAGCAAATACGAACAAGCGAAGCGATGGGTATGTTGAACAATATGGTTATCCAAAAGCGGTCAAACCACAAAAATTTCAGTGGTGCAAACTGGGTTCCATTACCTTCTTTACCTTTTTCAGCAGAATGATTAGATAAACGATTTCTATGTCAATGACCCTGTTTGGGCTATTTAAACTTTGATCTTAGCCAAAAGGTCCGAAAAGCGGTTTGCTACTTTCTTAGGCCACTTTGTCACGATCAGAGCCATGTGCCACAATGATCGCATGGACGTGGTCAGCGTACCATTGCGCCTTCCTCATTGGTTCTCCTTTCACTTTACCGTTTTTGAGGCAGAGTTCCACTAATAAGGAAGAAATAGTGACCAAATGTACCCACCCGTATGCCCAAGCTATACCGTTATCTGTGCCTTTAGCATCGCAAACCCAGTAAAGAAATGGTTCACAACTTCTCTTGCTCCTTTCAACCTTTATATTAAACCATTTTGTATTTCAAAGATGTGAATTGTATCTGTTCAATTCCAGCAAAACACCTACCAAATGGTGCTTGCAACGGACGAAATCCGCACGTACTGTATGCTGAACTACGCGAATATCAACTGGACGTCTTCTTCACAGAGTGGAGCGCTCACTCGAGGACGAGGAGGCAAACAGAGTGCCTTGGTAAGCGACAAAACTGTCATCGAAGGGAATGGAAGTAGTAGAAAAGCGCAGTCTATGCGTGTATGGGCGGAGTCAGACCTAAACTTGTGCTTTCTCCTTGGCTTGTCGCTACTCCAAGCGATCCCAGAAGGGCGGCGCAATAACAACAGTGTGCCTTACTCCGCATAAGGATCAGCGTAGGCTGTGTATTTGATTGAAACTAGTGGCTTTCAGTGCCCAGAAAACCGTCTTATTCCCTGGAAAACCGAATACTCAGACTTAGAGCTGAAAATTGGGCACTGTTCGGTCTGGGAGGGACATTTTGCACCATTGCAAGCTTCTTTTGTTTGTTCTTTCAAGATGTATGTCTTGCTTTGGTAAGACCTGTAGACTCCTGTTAGGCGTCTATCTTTGCAGGAACTCACGGGTATTTATAGAAGGCGTCGGCATTGATCGACCGGAACTAGCAAAATGTCCCTCCGAGCCGCATCGCCTTAAAAATTGTAATGCTCTTTAGGTAGGGTTCAACGGTGGCAACGGTACCGGCTTCTACCAGCTCCCTTTCTCTTCCGAAGGCAACTCGTACAAGCTCGTCCAGTTCGGCTCAACTCAGGTATCCATCGACTTATAGCCCACCAGAATTCTCAGAGAGCTCATTCTAGGTAGCTGGACGTTGGCTGGCACGAATCGATGAGCAGATCCAATACGGCGGATGTACGAATGATAGTACAGGTAACAATGCTTCTAATTTACCTCTTTTTATAGTAACACTGGACTATTTAAAGGGACCATGGAGCTATCGCAACAGTACGGTAACATGCTTGGTGGATTCGCGCTAAATGTGACAGGTCCCTGCCTTCGTCCATCTGACGTCATCAAAATGCAGTTCGACGAAATTACGACGATCGATTGCGAAAGGGTACGTTTTTCCTTCTGCGGTAATCGGACTCCAAGTGGCGTTCATAGTCGGCGACAGATGATCGCGCTGCGCAAGGGACTCAGCAAGTAGGAAAAAAACCGATCTCGAACTCGAGCTCAGTGGCAAGAGAACAAAAATCGTGAGAAATGGACCTCATCGCAAATCGCGCAGAGCTTGGTCGACGACTCATGAGGGGTCGCTTGGTTGGGTACTATGAAACTGGGATATTACATGAATATTTCAGATCGATATGGTAATGGCTCGATGCGTGATCCCAACCAATACCGTGTTCAGGATCGGCATTGTAGATGTGAAGCTGTCTGTGGACGCCGGAAAGAATTACCCATGGCATACAAAATTCTATATAAGTATAGTCCAGCCATGCAATTGTCACGCCTTGATCCCCTGCATCTGAGGAGGTGTCAGCGGGTCTGGCTTGGCGTAGCGCCGATCCCCTTTCGCCGATTGTTCCTTGAATGCTTTCTTCAGCCGCACTAAACATTAGCCCCTAACACACGAGAGCACCTGTAGCGAACAAAATTATACACTCCATGTGTCGCAGAAGAATGCGGCTTTGGTACGTTGGTCCTGCCAGCCAAGAGGCGTCGTATGTTGCAGTTTCCCAACGGGCAGAGATCGTAGTTAGCCTGGGAAAATGTTCCAAACCGGTCTTATCCCGCGTTCAAGGTATGTTATATATCCAGGAGGGCCAAAGAAAAGTCACTGGGATCGATTCACTACAGGGCACATCGTTGGTTGGGGAATCCCCAACAGGGGGGTCGTATTTGGCCGCCAGGAGAGGGGGGTCGTAGTGAGTGCGGCAGCCAGTAACGAGCAGCGCAAATTGTCAATGTGCTGAGTCCTGTACAACGAAACTTGCTTTGTAGAGAACTCGGATATGCAAAAAAATAGTACAAAACTTTCATTCATCAAACTAATCCGAAATAACTGCAAATATTAATAAGTCGACATTATCTCGTATAGTCTAGTTCGTTGATACAGTACAACTCAAACTCTGGTTCGCTGCCAATGATATGGCGTGTCCGCGGTCGCGCTTGGCGCTGAGCCAACCTGTTTTTTCTCGACAAGCGACAGGACTACCATATCGTTCATATCAGACGTTTTCCAGCAGTTGGTCTCCTTTATCGGAGTCAGCGATTGGTGGAGCACGAATCTGGCAGCGTTGACAGGGACATGTTCCATCATACGCAACGGAAAACACTGTAAACAAGTGCACAGGCTCGCCATGGACCTCCCTGAACCTTATAGACACATTTGCTCGCGTGAACAGACATTACGCACAAGTTGCACCATCCCATCACCTCTGCGCGGCCCTCAGTGCGCGGCGCATCCAAAGTTGGCGTGATCGGCGCTAAACGAACCATATCCTGCTCCTGCTCCACCACAGGATACGTTCTACATGCGTTCCTGGCTATTCGAACACGCTCACTTGAAACGGTACACAGGAAACGGGTTTTTCGCGCAGCTGGGAGTGTTCCTCAAGAAATCCCCATAGCGAGATCTCATGAATCCCGAGAAGCTTCAGAAACAGTTCAAGAGGTTTTTAGAAAGAGAAAATCTTCAAACACTCGAAACCATTCTCAGATTTGTGAAATGTTGAGTTACAAAAAAATATATTGATTCAAACCTGTTCGGTTGAAATCACTCCCCAACGAATCCTATGGCAGATTTCTCTGTGATTTTTGCGACCTTCATAAACGTTTCAGTACTTTTAGGAAGTGCAAACCTTCCTCTACACGAGTACGGTCTCCTCTTCCCCACAGGTCCGCTTTTGAGGAAGTTATGGTCCTTCAAAGACACCTAACCTCAGCTGGAAATTCTCTCCATGGCTAAAATTGCCGAATAATCTCCAGTCACAGCCGCAATTACATGCGCTTCTGCTACCGTACTCCAATAATCGGGGTAATGCATTTTTACGGCGGTTTGTATAACTGTTACGTAGTGAGACAAGCCTAACTTTCTCTTTTCCTCGTCCTCAATCTTGGGAATAGACGTTGTTAACACTGTGGTCGCTGATGGCCGCTCCCAGAGAGGGAGTCCACCTCAGGTTAACGAATGCTCATTGAATTTAATCGCGATACATCGTTATTATTACCATGTGTGTTTCAAAACGGCCATCGAAGAAGTTCATCATACGAGTTTCTCATAATACGATTGTACCGTTTTTTGTTTGCAATCATCTCTGTATTGTTCTATTATGTCATGACTTCAAGTCGTCCATTTAGTATGGGCACCTTCATACAAGTAGAATTTCATAGTGGGCGTTTCATAGTTTTCATTTAAGGCGAAAAAAAACCGAACGGCAAAAAAAGGGGGG